TTTAATCTCCCATCTATGCTCATTCTCTCAATATTTTATGCTAAGCTGCAGTATTTGCTTAGGTCTTGGCCCCTTCCTCTCTGCAAAATGATGAACAATTTTTAATTAGAAGCCTGATAAGCTGCAGAAAATAGATTTTTGGTTTCATTGGGCCCTGCTGACTTGTCTGGGGCGGTGTCAGTGACTGTCTCCTTCCTGGCATGTGTCTGTTAAAGCCCGCTGCCTAACTCACAAAACATTTTGCAGCCGATGCCGCTCTGTTAGGCGGAGCAGCAGACACTTGTGTGAGCCTGGGGAAGGATGGACGGACAGACAGAAGTGACAGACATGACGGACGTCTGCAGCGAAGTCGTGTCGGAGGAGATGTGGGGGCTGAGTGTGCCAGGACCGAGCTGGCGAGCGTCTGCTCTGGTTTCCTCTGGGGAGGCTCACCCAGGTCTCTGCTCGTTCAGAGAAGGATTCCTTTTCCTAGAGGCCACTTGCTGCCAACGCAGTCAAGGCAGAGGCGTGCTGCTGCGTGCTGCTCTCCATCAGGTTGCACGGGGCAGCCGTGGGGCTGCAGGATGCTCTCTGACAGCAGCTTTGCCTTGAGCTTATCCGCTCCACGGGGTGAATCTTGCAGGAGCCGTGCCTGCACAGTAGGCTCTGGGGCAGGACTCAGTCCTTTGCTCTCCCTTGGTTAAAAACCTTTCATTTTCCTCTGTGTGTACAAACCAACATTTGCAAAGGAAGACTGTGAATCCTGAAGGTTCAGCTTCTGGCTTTGGCTGTGAATGACTGAACCTCCAGAGACCTGAGCCCTGTTCTCAGTCCTATTTTTCTTGTTTGACTCTGCAAATAGTGCAGTTGTCCTGCCCCAGCTTCCCTGCTCGAGTGTGGTCACTGGTCCTGTACTTCATAAAGAAAACAAAGGTTAAATTAATTGTTGGAGGTAGTCAACTGTTGCAATGATGGGTTTCATAAGTGTACCTCATAACAGGCTACTGGCCAGCTGGTAAATACAGCTGGGGTGATTAATAACTTCATTTCACTGCTGCATGCAAAATCTTGGCCATGCTTCACTTGAACAGAAACTGCAATCAAGTCCGCAGCTTGCAGAGCTGCAGTCGGTTGTCCTGCCTGATGCACTTAGTGAGTCGCTTTTAATCACCGCTCGTCAATTAACAAGATAAAGCTGCTCAAACTCCAATGCCTCTCTGCCGATGAAATCAGGATTTCAGCCAGGGATCTCTCTCGCTATTTTTAAAGGCGAAATTTGTACGCTCAGCTTGCTGCAGCTTAGAAAATGCCGAGGTCCTTGCTGCTGGGGGAGCCTCCCCCATCCCTTGGGGCTGTGAGTCAGGGTCCAGGCTGCAGAGGGAGGTTTTGCCTGGGAGTCAGTGCTGGGGGACTCGAGTTGGCAGGCTTCGTGGTGCTGCGGGGTGGATTTGCCTGAGTGCTGCTGGGGAGGGGGAATTAAAGCTGTCCCGTGACAGCTGACTAGGAAACCATGTCCTCGTCATGCTTCTCTGCGACCCTAACTGCCCCTGCTCTCCCCATGGCCAGGATTGTGTGTGGGAAAGGATGCTGCTTTTGGCTTTTGATAGAGTCGTCTGCTCGTGTCCGGGAGCTGCAGCAGATGTGTCTGTAAGAGAAACCCTTCCCGGGGGTGCATGGTGCCAGCTTACCTGCCAGCCTGCTGCACGAATCCACACTGCTTGTGCTGCTGCTGGCTGGGCTGTGCATGTGGTGTGGGAGCAAGGAGGGAGCATGGTGAGACAAATCAGGAATGCCTGGCAAACGGGTAGCATCTCGCGTGGGCAGAGATGATGGAGAAGGAGAGAGGCAATTAATTTGTCTGACCCACCCAGCTGCTTCTCTTTGGCTCCTAGCTGAGGCATTTTATTGGATTTTATTATTTAATAATTAAGTTGTGATAGTAGCAGAGGGCAAGGATAGAAGATTGTGTACAAAAAAGAATTTCATTCTATAAATTGATGGCCTGTTCTCTCAAGAGCTGTCACCTACCCAGCGCAAAAATGAGCAGTGCAAAATAACAGGGATGCCTAAAACAGCTGGGGTCCGACAGAAACACTTATGAGATGAGGTGGAGGAGACAGGGAGTTTAGCTGAGAAAAGAAACTGAGATGCACGTACGACGCATCAAATGTTCCAGGGTGCTTTTGTTCTCCTTCTGGAGCATGGGAACAAAGGAACAAAATTACCAAGTGTGCAGAAAGGATCGAGATTGCAGCACTCCTTGTTACTGGCTGTGATTTCACTAAAGAATTTGGCAGCTTCGAAATCGTTTGGGCATTGATATGTGTTACAGGAAGGTCAGGGGAGTTCTGCTTCGTCCTGATCTGGAGAAGACTGAAAAGAAGGGAAAGGCTGTGGGCTGCCAGCCTGCAGCCCTGCAGGCAGGGTGAGACCTCCGTAGGGGTGGCTGTGATCGTACCTGGGGCTGTGCAGCAGCCGGGGCTGAGCCCCACAGCGTCGTGGTGCCTGTGATCCTGGGAAGTACAAACAGAGGTGTTTCATGCAGTTATTAGCTGACATACTGGCTGAGAGAGGCTTTTGTACGCTTACTTCTAGCTATTAGAAGTCAGGGAAGAACTGCCTGAAAGATGCTTCTAATTGAAAACGTTCAATTTCCTAACGCGAGATGTCAAATTTATGTGACTGCCAGGCTCGCCGTTCACTCTGGGCTATGACGGCCGTATATCCACTGCTTTTACTGCTCAGGTCCCATCAAGTTTGTAAACAAGATTGATTTTTCTGTTCCGCCTGACAAAGGGTACGAGCAGCAACATGATGCTGGCGTTCAGGCTTTGATGCCGTAATGAGCAGCTTCTCCCCGTGGAGCGCAATGGATGAGCAGCACCGAAGCCTGCGGGGGCTCAGCCCAGCCTGGGGTCTGCGTGCAAACACCACGGCGTGCCTGAAGCGCTGTGGGATCCCTGGCTGATGGTATTTGTGCCCCGTGTTGTGGTCAGTACAGCTGAACCGAAGGAAATGCAAGCTAAATACATTGCTATGCTTATTAGTGTAACAGTAGCTTTGCTTTGGTTTCTCAAATATTAAGAGGAAGCTGGAAGTTTTGGAAGTAATTTAAGCACCTGCTAGTTTTGTGTGTATTATCTAGCACCCTAAGTAGGGAATGACATTTATTGTGCATTATGGCACGCCGTCTTAATATTACTCCTCGGCTGTGTTTGTCAAGCCTGTGCTTTTAAAGGTCATCTTTATCTGGTCCTGGAGGCGTGCAGTCTGCAAACTGGGAGAGGCAAATGCAAAGCTGTGGGCTCTCCAGTACCATGCTGGGCTTGTTTTTTTTTTTACTTTTTTCTCCATTTTTAACAGTTTTACTATTCAGTTTTACTACAGAAATGTAGCATTGAGTCCCCATCTATTGGAAAATGCAGATTTCCATTCCAGATACCAGGAAGCCTCTCTTCACAACTGGACTAGGCTTGAGGTGGCCAAATCTGCTGCTTTCTGGGGGCTTTGCTTGCACCGGGTGGCAGAGAGCTTGGGTGGCAATATTCAAGGCTTTCAGGTGGCTCCTGAAGGGCTGCATCTGATACATAAGAAAAGCAGAAATCTCTCCCGTGCGTTGCTGCTCGTGGCTCTGCCAAGCAGCTGGCTGTCCCTGTGCCAGCAGCCGGGGGCGAAGGGACCAGCGGGAGCCGCAGCAGCAGTGCTGGCTCCCCCCCCGTCCACGATCAGAGTGCACTGAATTTCTAAAGGCAGATGAAATAACGTCCCCCCGTAAACGTTCGCTCGTTTTCAGCATCCCGTGCAAGAATCTTCCCTGTCCCGGTGCTGCCTGGTGCTTTTGTCCTCAGATCACAGCCGGAGCTGCCAGTTTTATGTCACGCAGAAAGCTAATGAACCGGAGTGTGCTGGAATAATCTGCTTTAAAAGGAACGGTCTCAGCAGCCAACTCCTTAAAAATGATGAGAGAGGGGACTGTGTGCAGGGAGCTGTTCATCCAGGAACTTCACAAGCCCGAATATTCGGGGAGCTGATAAAGGGGTAGCAGGCAGCAGCCCCACACCACTGAGATGAAGCCAAGCAGAATGCATTTGTTTGCAGGCTGCTTCCTTTTCAGGTGTTGTTTTAAGGTCAAACTGAAGCTATAACAAACTGCTTTATGGGGTTTTGCAGCCTGTTTTCTGTTGGTTTTGTAAAATAACACGTTTTCCATGCGGAACTAGCTCCTGGGTGTCCTGCTAGGGGTATTACTTGTACTCTGCGTGCTGCTTGTGGTAAAGATCAAGCAAATCCTTGACCACTGTGTGAACCACTTACTTGTATGAATATCAAAGACGCTTTTCAAAGGATAAAGGAAGCCTGTGTATGGCCTACAAAAGCCAATTTCTGCTGCTGTCGTTTGGCTTTGGTACATACCTCACTGCCTGCAGTGACTGCTGCATAATCTGCAGTGATGAAGCCGCAGCTGCCAGCGACGTGGCCTTGTGGTTGGGTTTCTGCACGAAGCTCTGGTGACTGATGAGTTCTCCAGCTTCTCAATTTGCCGTATTCCTCCCCTTTTTGGGTTGTTGCTAAGTCTTGCTGCGTTTCCCGTGTAATTTCTGCTCTGCTTACCTGACTGTGCACACTAAGCTGTGTATTGGCTGTATCCTGCCTCCTTCTGCAGCTGCCTACTCCTCCAAATCCCCCCGTAGCTTCCAGCCCCCTTCATGCATCACTCCTGCTGGTGTCCAGCCAGTGGATATCATTCCTCCTGTGCCTCTACAGCCCCTTGAAAGGGTCCCACAGCCCTGGAGGTCAGCATGAAGGGACAGCATTGAAATGTCCATTGTGGATCAAACCAAATGAGTATCTCCCTTGGTGCCAGGATCACACAAGCACCCATAGCAAGTAGCTCAGAGGGTGATGTCTGCTGTCCGGCAGCAGGCACAGGACATCCCAGGGAACAGGGCAGTGCAGTCATCAGCTGTGGGCCCCGTTCTGCTCGTGCTGTTCTTTCTGTAACTCCCTCTCTCTCTTTCCAGCGTGCCTTCCCGGATTTTACAAGCTTTCGCTCCGTCTTCCTCTCTGCTCTCCTTGCCCTGAGCACAGCTTCACCCACGAGGAAGCCTCCACGTTCTGCTCGTGCCAGAAGAACTACTCCAGGTCCCCATCGGACCCTCCGTCTGCCTCCTGCACGCGTACGTCTCGCTGAAGTTAAAGGCTCTTTGTAAAGCAGAGGACAGGACTGCGGGGAGCATGGAGGGATCTCCTTCTTCCGTGGGGCTCCCAGGCCGAGGCTGAGGGCCAGTGAGGAGGACACGCAGGCAGGCTTGCAGGCACTCACTGGTAAAACTAGGGTTCAGTCATGTAGTTAATATAGTTTGCGGATTTTAATTAAATGGCCTCTAGTTAATTGGATTGGACTCTGGCTCCTCCAGTGATGGATGTGATAGAGGTGCCTGTGCAGCGGTGAGGAGCTCGCTCTGCCCACGGGTGGCTGGGCTTGAGCCTGGCTGAGATGGCGGGGAGAGGTGCCCAGCCTGGCTGGATGCTGCCCGCACCTCCTGCGAGCTGTGGCTGGTTGCTCAGGCCTCAGCCGCTCCTCACAGGACTTGTGCTCCAGGCCCTTCACCAGCCTCGTAGCCCTTCTCTGGACACACTGCAGGGCCTCGATGTTATTCTTGTGCTGAGGGGCCCAAAGCCGAACCCAGCACTCGAGCTGCGGCCTCACCATGGATGTCCCTCTCCTTCCAGGTCCTCCATCGGCCCCGAGGGACCTCGTCTACAGCCTGCGGCGTTCCTCGCTGGTCCTGCAGTGGAGTGCCCCCGCGGATGCTGGCGGCCGCAGCGACCTGACCTACAGCCTGTGGTGCGGCCGCTGCCCTGCTGCACGGGGCGGCTGCGAGCAGTGTGGCAGCGGCGTGGGCTTCGTGCCACAGCAGACGGGCCTGGTGGAGCGCACTGTGACGCTGGTGAACCTGCTGCCTCACGCCAACTACACCATCCGCGTGGCGGCCCTCAACGGCGTCTCGGCCGTCAGCCCGCTGGCAGGGCAGCAGTACGCCGAGGTCAACGTCTCCACCGGGCTCGCAGGTATGGTCGGGGGGTGAGGATGTGGTGCTGGAGGAGCTCCTGGTGCTCATCCCTGTCACCCGCTGCCCTTGGTGGCCTCGAGACGCTCCTGAGGGCTTTGGCTGCAGGATGAGTTTCAGGTCACTATAACACCTTCAAATAGACAATGTCTTCAGCCTGTTCCTAAAGAGTAACTCAGATATTAGTTACGCTTTGGGAACAGAAATGATTTTCTGTTTTCTATGCTGGCCTGCAGCACAATTTGTGGCAGTAAGTGTCCCACCTGAGGATCCAATTTGTGTCCCCTTAGCACAAGGGGAAGCGAGCATCCCTTCTGCCTGTGGTCCCGGCTGACTGCAGGGTGTTGCTCTCTGCTCAGCTGTCGGCTGTGCCTGGGGAAAAGCAGCATTGGTTTGTCGCGTCCTTGTCTGATCCTCTGTGGCCACGTTATTAATTTGCATGAAAACCCTTTGCCAAGCCATGGTTAATGGAGACGGATGATCCTCACGTACCTCTTGGCAGGAATTGGCCAACAATTTCATCTGAAGGGATTAAACTTTGATCTTGTTATAAATAATTTTCCCACCACTTGATCAAATGGTTTTGCCTGTGTTGTTGCTTTCTCCCCTATCATCATTTCCGTGAATCCTCTTGGTGGACGCTGTGCCACAGGGCACCCTCAGCAGAGGTGTCATTCCTCATTAGGATCGGTGCTGCTCAGGGAGAGGTTTTGCTCTGGGAAGAGCTGTCCTGGAGCCCAGGTTATTCCTGAGCCAGCGCAGGGAAGAGCTTAACGGGGGCTGGTAACGAGGAATTTCTGCAGAGGCTCCTGTGTGGGTGGTGGGGCAGAGCCTGGGACAGGAGGCAGGATGAGGGCAGCAGGTCCCTGTCCTCCAAAGGGAACAAAGCAACAAGTCCATGACACCAGCCCGTGCCTTAGCTCCGAGGCTCTTCAGTACAACTTCTCGTCTGGGTAAGTGGGAATCTCAGCCCCTTACTCCACGCTGTATATACTCCCGAAGGAATTGAAGTATGCGTAAAGAATATGGCATAATTAATCTTGTAATCTGCTCCAAATCAATGTCGCTTGTCGAGCTGTCAAGCCTCCGGATGCAGATGGTGGCTCAGAATTAGCTGAGCAGCTGAGGTTCAGGAAGCTTCTTGAAAGCCTCGAGTGCTTTGCTGCTGAAGGTGTCCCTTCCCAGGCTGGAGCTGCTCCTTTCTCCTGCCCCGCTGGCCGGAGCCCTGGGGCTGCTCTTTGTTCGAGCTCAGCGCAGGAGTGCCGGATGGGGCTGGAGATAAGGAGAAAGCGAGACTTCAGGGATGCCTGAAGCAGAGGTGGCTTCTTTCATGACTGCGATATGATGGTCTCAGGGATGTCATTGGCAGCAGCAGGAAGGCTCTGGCTCCAGATATGCAGATTCAGAGGAAAAATTAAACAAAGAAACAAGACCCTATTTAGCTGTCAGATCCCGGCTCCTCTAAATATAGCTCTAAGTGCAGCTTTCACACTGCCCTTCCCCTTCAGCATTCACAAGAGGGAATTAGCAGTTGTTCATTGTATTTGCAGGGGAAAAGAGAAGATGCTATTTAGTCTGCAGGAGGCAAAATTAATACCATGTTTTTTCTAATCTGGCCCCAGCATGGGACTAAACAAAAATGTTTGAGGAGTGAGCGGAGCTGTTTACCTGCAGGAGTGGAGCAGCATCAGCTATGTAAATGTACGCTGTGGGACGATGTCATTTATATTCCCGGCAGGGATCGGCTCCTATCTTAAAGGGCTTTTAAATCCGTTGCAGATTAATAATGCAGCCAGTGCAGAAAGGCATTCTCCTCTCTGGGATAGTGGAGAAGGGGATGATGCTAAACAGGGGGCTCTGAAGCAGGCTGCTCCATGCACCCCAGCAGAGCCCCCAGGAGGGGCAGTGAGCGGCACTGGAGCCTTGCAGCAGCTTCTGCATGGTTTTTTTTAGAGGTTCCCTGCTTCTTTGGAGCTTGCCCTGTGCTCTGCCACGTGCTTGGGCTCTCCAGGCTTCCCGGGCACCTCTGGGATGCTGGTGTGCAGCTCTCTGGTGCCGGTTCACACGAATTAACAGGTGCAAATTGCTGCTTCTGCTCCGCTGTGCAACCCTGCGGTCAGTCAGGCTTTGCCTCTAAGCAATTAGTTCTTGCACTAATCAGGGCCCTGGGGTGCATAATGCCATGGGGTGGAGCAGAAAAGGGGTCTGCACCAGAGCACAGTCACTCCCCGTCAGCTCTCCCCGGGGACTCACAGCACAGCCTTGGCATCTCCAGGTGCCTCAAGCTCTGTCTGGGCAAAGATCTTCCCCTGCTTGAGCTCTGACGTGACTTCATCTTTCCTCGCTGGCTCTTTGACCTCAGGGCATCACCTCCATCCGTGCTGTAGCTGTGGGTTTGGCAGCGCTCAGCTCCTGACCCCTGCCTTCCCCGACGGAGCTGCCTGAAGCCTGCTGTTTGCAGGGAGCGATGCTCAATTACCACGTTATTAATGGACACAAAATGGACACTTAAACCAGATAATTAAAGCTCCTTTCTCAGGACAAAGATGAGTCAGCGGGCTGCAAGCCCACTGTCTGTCCCAGCCTTGGAGCCTCCACGTCCTCGGTGGCACTCATCCCCTCCAGACGCTTGCTGGGACGCCACGGGCTGTCCAGGCAGGACGTGATGCCCATGCCTGGTTTTGTGCCTTTGCTGCTGGCACAGCAGCTAATGGAGAGGAGGAAACCCAGATGCAACGGAGTGGAGTGTATAAAACCAGGCAGAGTGGTGAATAATTTAATGTTTGCTTTTTCAGAATAGAGGCGATGTTAGGGGAGCTTAAAATATTGATGGGCAACACATTTTTTTTTTTCTCCACAGTGTGAAATGCTTTATAGTCTGTGTGATTTTCTTTAATCCCTTTTAAGCGTGTTGGAGGCTGGTCCCTGCTTTCCTGGCGTGTGCCACGAGTGCTGCTCCACGGCAAAGCACTCAGCAAGCGTGATTTCTCCTGATGGCTTTGTTAACAGCCAGGACCACTTGTTCAGGTTTTCTCAGTCCGTTTGCTGGATACAGAGATACAGGAGGGCATCCGTGTGATGTCTTATTGATGGGAATCATATAAAACAGCAAGGAGCACTTAACTTAGTTTACAGGAGCAAAAAACCAAGCGAAGTGTCAGGCTGGCTTCGGGAGCGTGCTCTGCCTGGTCTGGCGGGGCTGCCAACAACCTTTTTGCCTTGTTTTGTGCTGCTGGAATGAGTTTGCTCCTCCTTCTTTACGCGTGAACAATTTGATATCCCCTTAAAGGTCAGCTCTGGGGCCAGCGTATTTACTCGGAGAATTATTTTTTAAAATGTCAAACCGTGTTTAGGCAGATCGCGGTGAGGAGGGAGCAGTGTGCGGGGGCTGTGGGCACGAGCCCGGAGCTCCCTGCTCACCCCTCGGTGTGCGGGGCTGCAGCTCAGGTCCTTGTGCTCTCAGAAGGAGCCGAGAGGACTCGGAATCAAGGAGCAAATCGTCATGAATAAAACATCAGGAGGACGTTTTTCTGCAGCAGAGATTAATGAGCTAAGTAATAAATATGAAATTTCACAGATACTTAAGTTTACTTTCCAGGGACTTGTCCCTCTCCATGGGAGTCCCGGTGGGGCAGCCAGGGTCCTGCTTTGATGGAGAAGCAGGGGAGGCTGCAGACAGCTCATTCCCCACACATCTTTCCCTGGGCCTGCCGCAGGGCTGTGGGTGTAAGTGGCTTTACTCTGGTGTGTTCAGGCCCCTAATGCTTGAAGGGTGACACAGGTGGAAGGCTTCCCTAGGCATGGGGAGGTCATTTTTCCTAATTAATCCAGAGCAAAATAGGGCTCCAAGAGAAGCACCAGGCACAGATTTTATTTTCCCTACTAAAACATGCAGTGTCTGTCTTGAGGGGCATCCTCTGCAGCAAAGACTGATGCCCTAGCATCTCCTGCATCCTCCCTGCTCTCGCAGAGCGAGCAGTGGGTGTGCTGGCCATGGGCAGAGCATCGCATCCGTGCTGCTTCTGTGTTGCTCGGGGTGAGCATTGCTTCCTTGGCAAGCTCCAGCCATGCTGCAGACGATCTGGCAGCTCCAGCCAACTTTTTGCTGGCCTGGAAGGCTGGGGTGTTGGGACAGGCTGCAGGCACGAGAAGGGGCTCGGGGAAGGAGCCGGCGTGGTGAAAGCAGGAAGAGTTGGCAAGTGCATCCTGCACAGGGAGATGAGCTAAATGGGAGCGGAAAGGCCAGGGAGGAGGATCCAGCGTGCAGTGTGCTAGCTAGAAACAAACAGCCGGCTTCTGGGGCATGGCAGCAGGCAGGGCAGGCAGCTCTGCCCAATTCCCAGCTTTTGGGAGGGTTGGATGGCAAGTGGGAGAGCTTGCCCAGGGCACCAGGGTGGACTTGGTGTCTCCTACCAGCCCATGGCCTCTGTTCTGCATAGGGTCGGCTTTTTTTTTTTTTTTTTTTTTTTTGGACAGAGCCTTGCTTGCTGCCCAGTTCCTAAAGCAGTTGTATTTGGACTGTCTTCTCCTGTTGGATGATCACCAGCTGGGAGTTTGCTCTAATCCAGCCCTGGTTCAGAGGGAGGGAGGTGCAGTCTGCACAAGGTGCATGCTCTTCAGCCATTCAAATTATTGAATTTTTTACTGTAACAACAGAGGACAAAAGCAGAAAAGAAGAGGCCATGAACATGAGGATCGTGATAAAATTCCCTCTAACCCGTGCTCTCCTCATTGCAGTTATTAATTTGGCTGTTCCTAACAGGCAACCCAGGCTTGGCAGCGTGGTGTCCCCAGGCAGGCAGGCTGTGCTGCGGGGTGGGTGCTGGGGATGCTCTGCCTCTGCCATCACCCTTTTTTCCTCTCCACTCTTCCAGCACCAACTCCCGTCACCGACATCCGCACGGATAAAATCGAGCAGAAGAGTATCTCCTTGTCATGGCAGGAGCCGGGCTTCCCAACCACCAACAGCACCGAGTACGAGGTCAAGTACTACGAGAAGGTAGGGCTCTGGGGACGTACCCAACCTCTGCCCATGCAGCATCCCAAATACTTCTGCTTGTGGCCATGCTCCTGCTGCTGTCAGCACCCTGCAGCTTAAACAGGGTGCGGTGGAAAATGGGACATACACGCGGGGACTGCGGCACGGCGATGATTTTACTGGCACCTAAGAGTGGCAGGAGCGCTTCCAACGGGTGCCAGTAAAGGCTTTTCCTCTCCAACAGCCTTATGCAATCTGCTTATGTAAGTTTTAGGAAATTTGGGTTATTTGTAGAGTTTATTTTAATTAGTGTTTTTTTTGTTGTTATTTTTTGTTTTTTTTTTACCCCATCTGTGCAGCAAGATTTCATCCAGTCCTAATGTTGACATCTCCCTGGGAGAAAGAGTAAAGCTAATAAATCGCGTTCATTCATTCTTTGGATGGCTTTTTTTCAAGAATATTGGAAATCCGAGGTTTGGGTGCTTGCCATTAGCCAGCTAGGAAGTATAAACCATACGGTCTTTCCAGATCTGTGATGAGATGACACCTATATTCATAGCCTGTTCTCTCAGAAAGTGTTGGACCTGTGGTCTTCACTGCTTTAGGACCGAGTCCCACCAAACCCATGACTTCAGCGAGCTGTGAGTGGCCTGGCACACTGGAGGGGACACGAGGAAACATTTTTATGACAGCCTGTTAATTCAAAAAATAGCTCTTATTTGACAGACACAGTGGGCTGAGAATTTTAGAAGAGATACCAGTGGGCAGAGAGCAGGGACAAAGCTCTAAATCAAAATAAATGCAGTTTATGACACAGTTCCGCAAATTACCTTATCTGCGTGTGCTCAGGCTCGTTATGAAACTGATTGCATGTCAAGCAAAGCGTGCAGGTGACATGTTGGCATTCTGTATTTAGAAACAAGCTACCTTGAAGCTGATTCATATTAATGTGATTTTCAGCATCTGATAGATTTGAAAGGAGGAATCTGGGAGTGAGGGCGAGCGCTGAGCATAATACGGTAATTCCTTTGCAAATGGGCTGCAGCAACAAGATACTCAGGGTATGTGAAATGAGGAAACATCCTGCTCGGGTAGAAAATTTAAACTACATTTTAGCAATTATTCACTGCAATGAGGCTTTTGATGCTGACAGGAAAATCAACTTAGTTCCTAATCTATGCTTTTAAAGCCATACTTGAACTATGGAGATGCGAATGAAGGAGCACATCAAACAGAAAACCCATTTCACGGTGACATCCCCGGCCCCGGGAGCGGCAGGATGTGTCGCTGCCACTCGTGCCAGAGTGCAGGGCTGGTCTGGAGCCCAGCCTGCTGCTAGCTGCACGAAGGCACTGGCTGTCGCCGTTCTCCCTTGGTCAAAGCAGAGACATCTTCAGGTCTCTGGGCAAGGGAATAAAAGCCCGGGGAACAGGACCATTAGCAAATGCATCTGCCAACTGCGATTACTCAGTGTGTGCTAACGCACGCCTATTTATTCCCAAGAGAGCATCCCTGCTGCTGCTGCCAGCAGCTCCCGGAGCTCAGCACCCTGCAGCCGCAGCTGCTCCCTGCCCTCTCCAGCCGGGCTCTTCCCCGATGTGCCAGCCGAGCGCAGGGAGCTCAGAAACACCTCCCCACAGCTTCACTCTTGTGTTAAGCAGAGCAGGTCGGTGTGTTTGCACACATTCACTGTGGCACCTTGTCCTCAGCCCTGCACCATTGCCCAGCACAGTTGCTTTCCTGCGTGCATGCAGCGCTGAGAGCATCCAAGGCTGGTCTTGGTGTGCAGGGGGTGGAAGGGATCGCACAGAGCTCCAGGCCACCTGAGGCAAGAAATTGCTGGTACCTGTGTGTGGTTGGTAGATCAAACCCATCAGGTGGGGCAGTGACAATGCTGAGATAAAATCTCCTCTGCAGGCATGGCATGGGGGGGTGCTGTTGGAGCAGGAGCAGGTCTGTTTGCTCTCACTGGGGCTTGAGAAGCCGTAGCAGGGGAGTAGGAAACGGTCTGAGGGTGCCAGCAGCTGAGCCCCTGCATTTGGGGCAGTGCAGGGTGGGCAGGAGGGGTGGAAAGGAGCTGCGTAGGAACACAGCTGCTCCCCACCACCCCATCCTCCTCCTGTCTTGCAGAGCGCATCATCTGGCCCTGCCATTTCCCGTGGCTTATCCATGTAATTTCTATTAAGGAGCCATCTAGGAAACGCATCCTTTCTGTCACGGGCCGTGCTGCTGGGACCTGGCGGCGAGGCGGAGGTGCGGCTGGGCTGGCGGGACCGTGGCGCAGCTGCTGGTCCCAGCCAATCTCGGGCATCTCATCATTTCGCAGGATCAAAGGGATCAGAGTTACTCGACCGTGAAAACCACATCAACGGCTGTGACAGTCAATAACCTGAAGCCTGGCACCCTCTATATCTTCCAAATCCGGACGTCTTCCTCGCAGGACTACGGCAACTACAGCCCTAGTATCGAAGTGGAGACGCTGGCAGAGCGTGAGTGGCGGCGATGCTCGTGGTCCCTCGCGCACACGGGATGCTCCTGCTCACGATGCTGCTGCTTTCACACTGTGGGTTTCTCTCCCCTTTGAGTGAGACTCATTTTGCCACCCTGGATCTCAGAGCAGGTGCTTTCCAGGACTTGATTTTATTTGCATTTTCCCGTTCTGTTTTAACACGATTGCTGCTGCCGGTCTGCCTGGCCTGGAGGTTTGTGTCCTTCCTGTGCAGCATCAGCGAGGGCAGTCACTCTGTGGCTCTTCTGCTCTGCTCTGGAGACTGGGGACCATCTCTGTGTTTTTTTTTTGGAGCACCTAAGAGAGTGTCCTGTGGAGTGGATTTTGCTTTCCCTTGGTGTGGTGGTAGCACCAGAGCAGATGTCACCAGCAAGCAGGCACCAGAGGGGAGCCCATCAGTCCCCACCAGGTGCAGTGACAGAGGGGACAATGCCAACCCAGGCTCTGTGCAGCTGTGGCAGGTAGCTACAGAGCCGGGATGGCTGCAGAGGGGGGCACAAGAGCAGCTCGGGCAGAGATCTGGTGCGGGATGCGTGCCCCAGGCACTCAGCTTCTCAGTCCCGTGGCTGAGTAAGGGCAGCCAGCATCGGGGTTATTTGCTGGGGTTTTACTTTTCACAGTTTCCATTCATAACCATAGGCCAGAAGCATCTTATTTCACTGCCTAAAAGAGGGCTTGGAGAGATGGTAGGGTTTCAGTTTAATAACCTACCCTGGCTCGAAATGAAAGCCCTGAGATGGCTGGCTCAGTACGACTCTCACAGATTGTGTTTAACAGGGCTTTAAATTGCATCCATTTACCACACAGAAGACATTTTCAGAATGAATTGAAGCCAATAAAAACTTTATATAGAATGTAGCTTTCTAATGCCCCTGTTTGCAAAAGCAGGAAGGGGAGGGATGAGTGTGGTGAAGGAAACCCATAGGTAAGCCATCGATTTTGAATCATTCCCCCCACCAAGTAGGAACTTTTTGCTCAGTGCTGACTGGTGACACCAGCCTGAGATTTGAGAACTGGTCCAAGGCGTGAATCCTTGTGTGGATGGGGAGAAGTAGGCTGGCACTGCTGGGGAATTGTCCCTCAGCTTTGCTGGAGGCTGCAGACTGTCACAGGGAGATGCGGGACTGGGGATGTGCCCTGGGAGCTGTGTGACACCTCTGCTTCCTTCCTGGCAGTGACAGTGGCCTCCAGCGAGCAGAACCCCGTCCTCATCATCGCCGTGGTGGCCATCGCGGGGCTGACGGTGCTGGTGTCCATGGTCATCGGCGTGATGGTCTGGAGGAGGTGAGCGGAGCGGCGTGATGGTGTGGAGGATGTGGGAGGGGGACCCAAGCAGAGTCCCCATGGTGCTGAGCCCACAGGAGACATGAGCAGGCAGCGTGGGTAACACAGAGGGGCTGGAAGTGTGGGTTGGAGCCTGTCCAAAGCCATGCCCAGGAGCCCCAGCGTGGGCGCTGGGTTGCGTTTGGCTTTGATTTCCCGTGGGAGGCTGCTCCCGGCGCTGATGCCATCCCGATTCTCGTTGCAGACAGTGTGGGTACAGCAAAGCCAGCCAGGACGGGGACGAGGAGCTCTACTTCCACTGTAAGTACCGTGTGGTCATGATCAGGACATCTGGTGGGGTCCCCTGTATTTCTTGCTGCCCTGATCCCTTGCTGTTGAGGCGTTGTCACCCCGCGTTGTCCCAGGGCAGGGCTGAGCACAGCGATGCTCCCTGGGGGCGTTGGGCTCAGCAGCACCCACGCCAGCGTCCGTCCTTCACAGAGGTCCCCGGCGTGCCCAGGAGTTGGGGATGCTCTCAGCAATCCCTGGCTCACATGAATTATTCTGTCAGCTTTTTCCGAACGGCCATGGGAGAACGCAGCTTTGTTTTCTGGGGCTACTCTTGGTTACTGAGCTGCAGTAATTGTACAGACAACAGTTGTCAAAGGAAATCCGAATGCCAGAACGGATGAGTTTAGCTGATGCCTGGCATATGCCCGTTAAGCACACGCAGGCTCTTCTGCTCCCTGGAGTGTTTCGAAAGCAGCAGAGCCATCGTGCTCTTGGGATGTATTTTGGCTGTTTCACCTGATCGTGAAGGGCGCTGAGCTGCCCACGGGAGGGTTTCTGCTCAGCGCAGAGCCAGGGGAGCACAGCAGCCACCCCTTCCCAGGCAGGCGAGCCTCTCTCATGCTCTTTTTGTATTCCCCTGCTCTCCTGCAGTTAAAATACCCACCAGGCGGACGTACATCGACCCTGACACGTGCGAAGACCCCATGCAGGCCGTGCACCTCTTTGCCAAAGAGCTGGATAACGCCAGCATTAAGATCGAGAGGATCATCGGGACAGGCAGGATCCCCCTCGTGGCCCCTCCGCGTGTCCCCACGGGGCTGTCCCCCCCCTTGGCAGCCTCATGCCACTGATGCCACCCTCCTACCTCCCGAGCTGCCCACCTCGCCAGCACCTTCTGGGATAGCTCCTTCCCAGTGCCATGATGCCATGGGGAACGGGGCTGCTTTTTTGTCCAGGAGCTGGGTTTCTTGTTCCCTGTTTCTTTTTCTGAGGCACCAAGTACAGGCCATGGATTGAGGCGCGCACCAGAAAGCATCAGCAATTATCTGCATCTGGGCAGGCTGACAGCAGCACAGGAACTATTTATAAATATGTGAACTTAATGATTTATTGATTTTCATCAGCCTCACTGCCTAAAACTTAAAAGCAAATTAAAATCCCCACACCGGGCCCTAGAGCTTTAATCGCTAATGTGCGCCAGAACACGGGAAACACGATTATTCTTTGTCATTTTTCTCCCTAAAGAGAAATTCAGCTATGGAAAAAGAAGAGGTGGAGGAAGGGCAGGGGTGAGGGTTCTCCCTCCAGCTCAGAGGGCAGCGGTGGAAGTGGAAGAAGTCTTTCTGGTAGCTGCTGGGTGGAGCAGCTGAGGCCGTAATCCCACATAACTTTCAGAAACAAATCAGTGTTTGAAAGATCAAGAAAGAAATTAGTCAGGAAAGTGTTTAAACGCAAAGAATTTTGGACTGCGTTTGTCTCACTGCTGAGAGTCCTAACAAGTACCTGGCTTTGAAATTAGGAAAGCTTTTCAGATGTACACTTTTTTTTTTTTCCTTTAAAGCCAATATTGGCTTTTTGTGTTATGAACCTGGTAGCACCTGTTGCCAAGTGAGGAGCAGGATGCTCAGCCTCAAACGCTGCAGAAATGCTCCTGGTGCTGGTGCTTCGTTGCTGTGAAATGCAGAGCTGGTGTTTGCTGAGCTTGGGGGCAGAATGGGCCGGATCTGGGGAGCATGAACTTGGTGGCTGGGGGTTGATCTTCTTTTCTTGGAAAAAAGAAACACACAGTATGTGCTTGAGCAGAGCATGGAGAGAATGGCTCCTTTGGGGAGGCGAGGGATTTTATGGCGTGGGCGCTGCTTAAAACATATCTCTGTCATGCAGGGGAATTCGGTGAGATCTGCAGGGGCTGCCTGAAGCTGCCCAGCAAGCGGGAGCTGCCGGTGGCCATCCAGACCCTGCGGGCTGGGTGCTCGGCGAAGCAGCAGCGCTGCTTTCTGGCCGAGGCGTGCACCATGGGCCAGTTCGACCACGCCAACGTCATCCGGCTGGAGGGGGTCATCACCAGAGGTAACGGGGGCCTCGTGCCGTGTGGGACGGCTTGGCATGCTGGAGGAGGGCTCCTGTGTAAATTTCCAGGAGAAGTGAAGCCAATCCCACTCCTTTTTTTGTGTTGTTATCCTGTTAGTACCTGCTGACAAGCCCTGCCTGCTCCAGTGCGTTGGGAAAGGATGAATGAGCTCTCTCTGTAGGATGTTGTTTGATTTTATATTTTTTTAAGTATCTCCAACCTAAGGTGGCACTGCTGTTTGCCCTGTCATTTCAGCCTGCTAAATTCCATTTTTCATTCTCCCTGCTTCAGAGGGTGAGGTTGTGAGGTTGCACAGAGCTGCCCTGCCTGCAGGTATTGCTCTGGGGGGTCCAGCAATGTCAGGGGGACGTGCAGTGGCCTTCACGCAGGGTAATTAAAGCACCTCCACAAGAGACACGATGTCGGTGCTGTCTGATGGAGACACGGCATGCAAAATGCTCTAGAGTTTTTCCCAATGGGCCGTTTCTGCAGCTTTAATTTCTTTTTTTCCCAGCTACTTTCCCACGTGGCAGGAGCGTCTGGGCGTGCTGGCAGCCAGTGCTGCCAGCACCTCGCTCTCCAAAGAGCCCTGACAGCACGATGTCAGCGGGCTCCGGTACTCCATCAGCATGGAAACGGTGCAGTCGTGTGCTTCATGCTCAAAAAATACCCGATGCTGCTGGCAAAGCACAGAAATGAGTGTTGTGACCTCTTGAAGGAGGCGTTTGGCTGACCTGCAGCAGCGGCTGGTGGGTGTACGGTGGGGTGCATGGTGGGCAGAGTGCTGCTGCGTGGTGCTTGAGGAGATTTTGGTTTGATTTTCCTGGGAGAAGGCAGCAAGGATGCTGACCTGTTTAGGGATCCACCATGGATTTCAGGCAGTGCCCTGAACCTGCTGCTTCGGAGAGCGATGACCTACTGCTGCAGGTGCCAAACTGTTGCTCTCTGGAAATCAAGTGTTTCCTCACCTATTAGCTATTTTAGCATGCCGATGATTAATAAAATGCTTACAGCTCGATTAATAAAGCCAGGGAGCGGGACTGGTTTAGCAGCAAAACAGCGCGCTCTTAATAAAAGCAAATTGCAGTGGGGTTTTGTCAGTAAAACGGATGAGGCTGCCTGCTCCCAGCCCTCGTGGGAGTGCTCACTGCACTGTGCTCGGTGCTGCTGGTAAATGGATGTTCGTGGAAATCCAAAGGCATGCGAGCACGTGCCTCGAACCAGCTCTTTTATTAGGTAAGGAAGTATTTCTGTCCTGAGTCTGGGGCTGAGCTGGTCACTTTTGTGTAGTTTGGTAAATTAATAACGTATTTTTTCTAATCTCAGCTTATCAAGAGGCGCAGAGTCCCTAAAAGCATCTTGTCCTGCTCTTTGATAAGTCTGTGTATGAGCTGCGGGCTATCTGTGAGCCTGTGTCTGTGTCACGATCTTTGTACCAAGCTTTCCAGAGCAGCCGTGGAAATGAGAATGAATTCTCCAGCTAATGAGAATTTCCTATTGGCGACCGTGTTTCCGTTCCTGTTAGCCGGATCTTCGCTTTATCATGCTTAATTAATGCCAGCAGTGCCTGCTCTTTAACTGCAATGTCTCGTGTGCAGGCAGCCTTGCATTTTGCAGCAGGGGAGGTGCTCATCCTTCCACCAAACCTCTGCTTGCACCGTGCTTAGCCCGTTTGGTGATGCTGTGCCAGACCCCTGCTCCTCCCCGAGCCTTGCTGGCAGCACAACGAGCCTTGGCTGCAGCTCTCAGGGTCCCGTGCTCGTGCTCCCGATAATTCTGGAAGAGAGAACCGTGTCTTTAACGTGGAGCATCTTCCACTGCGAGCCCCTCTGGGGTGAGCTGTAGCAATGCTTCCAGCAGCAGCTGCAGGTTCAGCGGTGCCAAAGCATCGGTGGGGCTCAGCAGCAGGATTTGCCAGTCCCCTCTCACCCATCCCTAGTAGATGATCACGTTAATCTCCTCTGGTTGTTGCCTCAGTGGTGGAGTTTACGAGGCAGGTTGGATACATCAAAAATCCCACAAGGAAAATCTGCCAAATACACGTTTCTGTTTGGAGGGGAGGTTTAAGGGCTGGGAGGTTTGGTCTGTGTTTCCATTACCACCAGCACGGAGCTGCCTGCAGCAGGAGGCAGGACTCACGCGGTGCTCCTTGTCTGTCCGTGCAGGGAACACCATGATGATAGTGATGGAGTACATGGGGAACGGAGTGCTGGACTCTTTCCTCAGGGTGAGTGCTGTGGAGCCGGTGGGAACCACCGGGCTCTGTCACCTGCTGGGCTTCAACAGGCATCGCTCAGCTCTGGCTTTTCCTCCTCTTTATCTATTTATTTATTTTATTTGCAGAAACACGAGGGACAGTTCACATCCACCCAGCTCATCACCATGTTGCAGGGGATTGCCTCTGGCATGAAGTACCTGGCAGAGATGGGTTACATCCATAAAAGCCTGGCTGCCCACAAAGTCCTCGTGAACAGCAGCCTGGCGTGCAAAATAACAGGTTTCAGGCAGCCGCAAGAAGATAAGATGGAGACCATCTTCAGCACCATGGTAAGAGGCTTTTCCAAACTTAATTTCCAGTGCTTCCCAAAAGCAAAATGCTGACGGCACACCTGCAGAGATGTCCCCTGGTGTCCATGCCTGGCCGTGGACAGCATCCCTTGGACTGGCTCCTGGCAGCGCTAGGGAGGCTCGCAGCCTGCTCTGAGCGTTGAGGAAGGATCTGCACCGTGACAGTTTCTTTCCCAACTGGAAATTGATGCGTTTATTCGGGGAACTGCCCCACAGCAGTGCTCCGTGCATGTGGGGGCGAACCAGAGGCAGTGGCTGAGGGCAGCCTCAGGCTTCGTTATGTCTATTTTATCACTCATAATGAAGTTCATCGTTTTCAATTAAGGACCGAAGTCCTGCTCGCTTCACGCTCACGCCTCATCAGCTCGCCCCGTATCAGCTGAATCTGTTAGCATGTCGCATTAACCAGGCATTAATATTTTAAAAAGCACCAATTCTGCAGTCAGGCCAGCCCTTATTGTTTGCAGGGAGCATTGCTCCAGGGAGGCAGCAGCTGGTAGGCACGGCCACAGGTACCCGGTGCTGTGTCCTAGCACCAGGCATGGCCATCCCAAGGAGAGGAGCCTGTTTGCAGGGTTTGCCCCACAATCTGTCGGGAGCTGTGGTTCTCTGTCAGCTCTGAGCAGGCTGATGGCAGAAAGAGTCTTGCGATGTGATTTTTTTAGCCTTTATCACGAGCTCCAGGGAGACACCTTGGGGAAAGCATCCCTATCTTGTAGACTCCTTGGTGAAGCACGACCAAGTGCTGAGCATCCCACAGTGCTGCGGCTCACAGCTCGGCTGCTGTGCCCGCAGGGATGGGAGAAACCTTCCCTCGGTGCCAGCGTGGGCACGGAGCAGCCTGCTGGGTGCAGGGAGCCCAAGCTGTGGCTTTGGGGTTGAGGTCTCCCCCCTGTTAATTGCAATTAGCTGCGGTGTCTGTCACTTGCTTTGCCCAGTGCATCTGGAGGGATCTGCAGAGGTGGAGAACAGGATGGCTAATTACAGGAGAGCAAGCTAGGGTGCAGGGACTGTGTGTTTGTGCAGCTCGGAGACGGGTTTTGTTAAATATTAATGTGTAAAATGCCATCAGCTCTTCCCAGAGCCATTCTCTCTCCCATTAATATTTCAGAACTCACATTCCCATGTAGCATACTGTTGCACGACCATTTTAAAGCAAATTGAGGCACAAGTTTTCTCTTAGTATGAAACCCGTGCGTGCTACACAAGCTGTGAAACAGGGAGAGGGTGCACCGGAGGGCCACCACGTGTGTCAGCCTCTCCCTCCTCCTGTCCTACGTGACAACACCATTTGACCCCATTTTCTGCCCGGCCAGCGTGGGAAGAGCCTGGTGCTGTGGTCAGCCCCCGAAGCCATCCAGTATCACCACTTCAGCCCGGCCAGCGACGTGTGGAGCTTTGGCATCGTCATGTGGGAAGTCATGTCCTACTGGCGAGAGACCCTACTGGGACATGTCCCACCAGGATGTGAGTCCCCTGCTGCGTGCCCGACGGTGATATTGCTGTGGCTGGCGGTGGGCGGTGAGGAGGGAGGGCCTCCCAGCTGCCAGGTTTGGGTGCAGTCTGTAATTTTGGCGTCTCAGAGCTGTCCCCTTGCCTTTCTGCCCCGCTCTGCAGGTGATGAAGGCGGTGGAGGACGGCTTTCGCCTGCCGGCCCCGGCGAACTGCCAGCCTCCCCTGCACCAGCTCATGCTCGACTGCTGGCAGAAGGACCGCAGCCAACGCCCCAAGTTCTCGCACATCCACGACGTCCTCAGCAAGATGGTGCAGAGCCCGCAGCCCCAGCCGTGTGCCAGGTGCCCGCTTGTCCCTTCCCCTGCAGGTCCTCGTCGCTGTGCGCCGTCCCCGCTCCCCTTTATGCCCCGTCTGTCCTCAGGTCCCGCGGTGCCGCTGTACCCCTGGCCGAGCGCTCCTTCGCAGCCTTCCCGGCCTTCAGCTCGGTGGGAGAGTGGCTGGAAGCGATAGAAATGGGCAGGTACCGGGATAACTTCACCGCTGCGGGCTACTGCTACCTGGAGTCCGTGGCCAGGATGACGGCAGCAGTAAGTGAGAGGGGCTGACCACAGCCTGGCGTAATTGGGTGCAGGGGGGAGCGAGTTGTGCTTTTAAATACCAGCCACTTGGTGCTGAATGAAAGGGGAGGTCTTCCAGAGCACGTCAGCAAGAGCTGCAAAAGAAAGAGAACATGTCCCAGCAATGGTGTGGGTTGGGCTGCATGTGCTGTGCAACTCAGCTGCTGGGTTTTGGAGCCGATTGAAAGCTGTGCTTTGGGTTTTAACCTGTAATTTCTGGCAGGCACAGAGTCCTACCTGTCCCAGATGGAGAGCAGGGTCAAATCGAGGAGTGATTTGCCAACAGGTGGCTCTGCAAGCAGCATGGGGCCTCCAGCTCCAGCAGCCGGGGTGGGAGCTGTTTTGTGCTGCAGGCTCCTGTCACCCCAAGCTCCCTGCCAAGGTCTGTGCTGTTCAGCTGGGACAACAGCTTGGGGATTTCTTACTCCTGCATGTCCGTAGGAACCCAATGGTCTGAAATCCATGCTGCTCTGTCCTGGAGAGCAGTCAGCACAGGATGCCGCAGTTAGGGCTTGTTCCTGGTGGCTGACGATGGGTATGTTTTGCAGAGATGTCCTGAGCCTGGGGATCACGCTGGCAGAGCACCAGAAGATCATCCTGAGTGGCATCCAGACCCTGCGTGCCCAGGTGATCCAGATGCACGGCCGAGGCGTGCAGGTGTGACGGAGCACGGAGCACCGGAGTGGGAGGAGGCGCTGGCCACGTGCTGGCCCCAAACCAGACCAAATCTCTGAAACCTCATGGTTTCAGGTGGGATGTAGGAGTCCCTGGGCTGCTGCCCAGCGAGTCATTCCACGTGGCAAGAGGGCAGGGTGGCCCGTCCCCTGTGCCAGGGAAGCCGAGCATCCCTGGGACACCAGGCACGGTGTGCCTGGGCAGGCTGTGGTTCTCCCCATCGCTGTTCTGTAAGATGAGTCAAATGTAACGATGCCATTTCACATGGTAATTAGGTCAACAGGGTGGACGGACATTTGTGCACTGTCTCAATCCAGAGCTGACAGCGTTTTCCTATCTAGCATCCTACTGGTGAAATCCATGGGTATTTTTATACAGGCTGACATCTTCTACCAACCCCACCGGGAGCTTTTATTGCTTTTATTTTTAGAGACTGGAGCAGAGCTCACACCCAGCGCCCCGCTTTGGGAAGGTGACTTTGCCCATCTGGCGCGCTGAAAGGAAGCTCTTTCTTTCCCAGCCACATCCCTTCCGCTCGAAGAGTCACCTCGCTGAGTCTTGACACCACTGTTGGTGAACAAAACGCAAATGTTCTCCACCGAAGCGCAGAGCAAACGGTGCCGAACATTTCTTGTCCTGGCAAGACAGTTGCAGCGGAGGAAACGGAGGCCACAGCCAGGAGAGGGTGAGCACTGATGCCCTTGGGCTGCCCTGCTGATGCTCTCAGCCTTCAAGCTTTCTGCCTTGCAAAGTCTCGTGGGCATCCTGCATCCTTCGCTGGCTTGGTGGGGAAGTGCGGTGGCTCTGACTGCTCTGGGATGCAGCACCATGGAGGGACGCGAGGCAGTAAGGCAGTGGGGAAGGTGTGTCCGTGGTGGCGAGCTGCTGCTTGCTGGGCAGGAGGATGGCTGTAGGAGCTTGGAAAAGAGGGGTCTGCTCACCTTTGGCACTAACCCACACCCCTGTAAGGTTTGCCAGCGATGGTGCTCACTTTGAGGTCCTAATGCTGTACCGAACAGCCAGCCACGGATGCTGGAGAGAGAACAACAGCAGAGAAATACCCACAGCAAGGTGAACGCTGAGAAAGAGGGGCTTCAGGTGGGTGCAGCCAGTGACAGGGGGGCGTAGCGGGCAGAGCATCGCCACGTGGCCGTGGGCTGAGCCACCTGGGTGAGGCTGGAGCCTGGGGATGAGCATCCCTCCGGGCAGGTTGGCACATCAGCACTTTATTTCGTAGCAGCCCGAGGCTCAGCACCGTGTGCCTCACGCACTGGCAGTTCCCACTGCTACAGGCCTGATCCGTGACGGAAGGCTTAAATTGCATCTGCTTAACGCTACAAGTTTCCTTGAAGTTGGTTAATTAAATGGGTCTTCGCAGCCTTGTTCTGGGCTTTGTAGGCCTTTTATTATCATCTGTAAGTATTGCAAGTGAATTATTAATGATGAAAGGCAAAGATTTACAAAGGGAACGAATGCTGTAGAGGAGGATGTTCATGATGCAGTTGGAAATGTGTTTGCGTTGGGTTCGGAGGCTATGCAGGTAGCCTGCACCAAAGGGACACAATCTAAATGGCAATTAGCTGAAGGATGCTAATGCAGCCTGTTTGTGGGGCCGGCGTCATACTCACCCCACCCAGACAGACGGTTGCATCGTTTCAGGGACCCAGCTTTTGTTCAGTAAAGCCTCATTCCTGGTGGTTTTCTTCGAACCCACACATGTGCCCCAGGGGAATGCTGTGCCCTTGGAGGCTTCTGGCTTGGCTGCTGCCACTGGCTGAAGGTCAGGAGTGCTCAACACTACGAGATTTCCTTTTTTTCAGCTGTTTCAACGTGACTGCATTGGAGATCAGAGCTGAACTTCACCAACATGTGGTATCAAGAAGGTACCAGCTGATGTTTACTTCTCATTTTTCTGCCTTGTGTTGCCATTTCCAGGCAATGTCACAGTGAGCTCCCACCAGCTCTTGGTGCTCTCCTTCTGAAGTTTAAGCAGCATTCCCCAGTGTCACTCGGTCAGTTTTTTATGGAAATAACTTCCCTTTAAGTTTCACTTTTGTCCGGTCCGGGTAGTTGCTCAGCATCCTGCTGTTTCACACCCAGAAGAGTAATAATTGTGAACTGAAACCTTCATTTGGTAGAAATGCCAGATCCCAAGGATCAAGTGCAATTTGTATGCTCGTTATGTTTACATTTTATCTATAGAGAAAGTATATTCTAGTTCTCGAGGCAGGGAGCTGAACCAACATGATTCCTGATCCTCTCCCCCATCTCCTGCTCTTGTCCCTTTCGTGGGAGCTCCCCAGAGCCTCCTGCAGGCCGGGCTGAGTCCAGGCTGCTGTGCTTGCTCTCTGGGGCTCTGGGCAAAGCCAGGACTCGGTGACAAGGTGACACCATGCCCTCGGTCTGGAAAATGGAGCTGGCTATGAGCGCACAGCCTGCCTGGGGCAGAAGACCTCTCTGTGACATGCAGGAAGGTTCTGAGGGTGCTCTGAGCATCTCGAGCCCAAGGGTAGGGAAGTGAAGGCAGCAAAAAGGAAATTCTGGAAATAGTGACGGTTGTCAACAGCTACAGAGACCTCAGAAGAGGTGTCCCAATCACTGTAAATAAACCCTATAATCTGTTGAGGGAGGCTGAGGTGATTCTGAGGACAGCTCCGTGAACCAGCTGGAAGGCAACTGCTGGTAGCAGGATGCTCTTGGGCAAGGTGTTCCTTGTGTTTGTGCAGTGATCGAGGCCGTGCAGGTTTCTCGTGTGCCTGGTGAGGGAGATCAGATGGAGGGAGAGTGTGCACAGCTCCGCAGAGGTGCCCGAGAATAATGAATTCTCAGCAAAAGTTCGAAGAGAGTGTGGTGTTCCCTTTCCAGCAGATTAAATGTTATTCCTTGGGAACGCTCCTGGGCTTTATTTGTCAGTTAAGAGCCTTACAACCAAAGGCAACGTTGACAAAAGTGGCAGACCTGGCAAGCTTGGATGCATTTTCTGCATTCCCTGCAGAGACAATGTGGGACATTAGGGTGAGGAAGAAGTCCTTGTCCTTGTCCTTCCCCAGCAGCTGAGCCCTGCAGCAAAGCCCTGGGGCCTCTTAATCCATGTGGCTGGGCACTTGTACAGTGCACTCTCTGTGCTAGAGTGCTCCAATTAAAAATGAGACCATTCCTCAATCATTTAAGAGTTCCCCCTGCTGAATTAGGCTCCTGTACTGCATTCTCCAGCACAATCAGAACTGGAAGCGACATTTCTTCATCTGAGTCTCTCTAGCTGGTCCCCAAAGAAATTCCGTGTTTAATTACTTTCCTGATTTACTACAGTGAGGGACTTGGGCTCGATGTTTCAGCGAGCTCTTTTTCTTCCAGACAGCAGCATTCTGTGGCTGGGACCACGCTCTAAGGTGGCAGAAGCGCGGTGTGTTGGCTCTCCTGGCCTCTGCTGGAAGGGAAAGGAGAGCACGTAACCAAAGCGTGCTTCCTAGCCTAGCTGGTGGCAACAGCAAACACCTCTAACCGAGCTCCTCATCAGCCCTGGAACTAATCAGATCAGCAGATTAAGTTATAAATTGTTATTGCGATTTTAAAATTAACTTGTGCCCTCTCAGCACCTCCTCTTTGGGGAAGTATTCAATGCCTGATAATTAAATTAATTAGCACTGCTGTTTTGCAGCTGCTCGACCAAGGGAAATGCCTCAGAACGATTTCAGATTCTTATTCCAGGCTGTGTCTGACACAGGGAAAAGTTCCTTCTGAAGCTGACAAAAGGGTTGGTGTCGTGTGTTTGGGTTCCTGCTGTGCTTTTGGAAGAGGTTGCTCATGTCCTGGACCTGGGGCTAGCCCCCAGGGCATCACGAGGAGCATCAGCCCCATGCAGGAGCACTCAAGGGCTTTGCTCTTTGGGGCTTTGCTTTCCTCAGACCATGGTGTATTTGACCCAATACGTTTTGTTCTCCAGCTGCTGCCTCTCCAGCAGCAGGAAGCCACCCGTTTCTGGGCTTTTCTTTGTATTCCTAATGAGGATGTCTCCACTAGATGTTCCTCTTGGCCAGCGGGAAACGGCGCAGTACAGCCTCTCCTGGGGGTCTGGCTCTGCCTGTGCTGGAGGAATTCCTCTTTGGGAATCCTCCCCTTCTGGGCTGGGTCTTGTTTTCCTTGAGGGCAGCAGGACAGGTCCCAGCTGTGCCCCTGGTCAGGAACAATTTTCTGGAGCCAGAATTAGGACAGTGCTGGACACAGCCCCAGGCAGCATCACGAGAGCTGGTGCACGTAACTCCCCCCCCCCGGCATAAAACCAAAACTGGGGTCACGTTGGTTCATCTCTAGCTGCTTTTTGATATTCATTAACCACATGTTATATACTGTAAATACGTACTTGAGAAGTCAATATATATTTTTATAAGCTTGGAACAAATGTAATATAAGATTGTAAGGGACACTGTGTACATTTCATGATCGAGCTATAGTCAGACATCTCCAGGGAATCACCATTGACTTGGAAGAACAATAATAATAATTATAGATGGTAATAAAGATCTATTGACATTTTGTTAATTTTGTATTTATTGAACTATGTTTGAAGATTGCAATAATGAGATACCTAAATATAACTAAGTAAAAACAACCACTAATTCTGTCCTGGCTTGCATGTGTGGGTTATTTCTGGCATTGCGATGAAAAGCACCGCTTCAGTGAGGATAGCAGGTATTGGGTAATGAACAGTTGAAGTGGCAGCAAGGTGTGAAATGATGCCTTGTTTTATTAAGTAGCATGTGAGCTAAAACAAGAGCCTTTGCTCCTTTTTGCAGTGTGTGCAGGAACAGTGCCGTGGTTGTTTCTTGCTACTGACGTTTCCGTAGGGAAGAAAAAACATTGTTTAACTGGGACAGCTCATGGGTTTTGAGGAGGGAGAGGCTAAGCCCTTGACCAGTGGGGCCAGCTGTGGTCAGGCAGGCAGAAGCCCCTTGTTCCCCCTGGGAGCCCCCAGCATTGGACGTGATCAGAGTGGAGCTGCTGGCACCATCCTCACCCTGAGTGCAGGATGCTGCTGAGCAGAGGGAAAACACTGCTGAGCTCCCGTGCTCAAGGCGTGCAATTAATTGTTTAACTGAGTAAACGAAAGCAGGGTATGGCCAGCATGTTAAATGCAGGCGCTGCACAAACAATAATATTTAGAAATAATGCAGCGCGACTCTTTCAGCAGTTCCCGTTTCTTCTCTTTTTTCTTGGGCTGCTTAATGCCAAAGAGCATGTACAAAAGCCTCGTTTCAGTGTGCTGACAACAGTGACAGCTGCTAGGAAAAAGGAACTGAATGGGTGCTTAAAACGGGTGAAGTCTATTTGCCTTCTGTCGATCAATTAATTCAGCCAGTCTTCACTAGGAGCCCGGCCAGGGCTATATTGGCACTATAAAGAAATAATTAGTGCTCTGAAGCAGGGTTATGAATAGTGGATCGCAAGCCCCAGCCAAGCAGAGGTATTTTTTTGCCCAGCCTTACCTGCGCTGCTGCCTCTTGTGCCCTGTGGGTGATATTTTCACCCTTTTTTGTGACCTTCCTGGTAAGGACGGGGGCTTGGGCATCCCTGTGCTGCTTGGGGTGGGGGCTGGATGCTTCCAGCATGGGTTGGGGGACACAGGAGGGGACAGGGAGGATGCTGGGGGGTGAGAGGTCTCCATCAACCCCCCCGGGCTGGCAGGAGCATGGCAAAAGCCCCTTCCCCTCTCTGCCACCGAGGAAGCAGCGTTCCCCAGCCTGCCCAGGGCAGGCCCACGCTTGAGGAGCTCGCTGCCTTGCTAAAATGGAGGCCGATTTTCCGGCTTCCTGGGTCAAGCAGTTGTGCTGCGCGGTGTCAGCATGTCCCTGCTCCGAGCTGGAAGCTTTATCTTCATAACTTATTGCTCACTGCTCTGCGACTGCCCTGCTGCAGTGATGGATTGCACGGGCTGACATTGAAGCTCCTGCTCCCTTCTCCCCCCCTCCCCATTCTCTGCTGTTGGAGCTGACTGGACTGTGAATATTTTCTGCACAACAGACCTGAGCAAACCTCTCATGATCTAATTTTAGTCCTCTGATACGGAGGTTTGAGGGGGAAATTACAGCTTGGGCTGCAACCGTGCGTATTGTATAGCCAGCAATGGATGTATCAGCTTCTGACACAAGCAATGGCTTTGAGGGAGGAAACTAGCTCTGGAAAACATCTGGAAAATCATGTCACAGCTCTCCAAGGACAGCAGAGTCTGTCACCTTGATGTTTGCATTTTGTCTTGTCTCCTTTTGGGCACGCCGTTGCCTTCTGCTCCCCTCCATGCACATCCGAGGTCTCTCTGGGTGCCAGCTGTGGCCAGACAGGGAGCAAAAGAGCCTGAGAAAGGGGCAGGTGCTGATGGGGCAAGGGCATACATGGTGCTGGCACAGCTGTAGATCGTTTTGGGGCTCTTGTGTGTGCTGCCTTGCCCTGGGATGAGCCACAGGTGCTGTGGCATGGGCAAGGACCAGCCCAGCTCTGCCTCTCGTCCTCCATCCTCCCTGCTTTGGGGTGAGCACAGGAAGGGGGAGAGCGATACCCAGGGGACATTAAAAGGAGCCTGGCTCTGGAGGGAGAGTTATGTTTAAATATGAACACCTGCTAATTATTGGGAAGACCCGGTGCCATCTATCATCATAACCAGTGATCTGTCACCTCAAGTGTGGTGTGAACGGGTGCATCGGCCCTCCTTGGGGTAATGTCCCACCATCCCCGTGCCTCTGCCCTCCCCAGGGCATCTCCAGGGAGCCCTGGGGATGGCAGCAGCAGGAACAGAGGCTACATGGCAGCTTTTGGCATCTCCTGGGAGCGGGACTGTGGTGGTTTTATTGTGCTGGGCAGCTCTTGGGCTTCCATTTAGCAGCCGGTGTGTGTGGTGAAGGAAAAGCCCCCAGTGCCTGCCTGCTCCCACCTCTTGCACTCTCTAGCTCCCCCCAAAAGCCTCCCAGTGACCCCCAGATTCTTCTAGGATGCCCAAGAGGCCTCCAAGGGCACTCGAGGATGTCCTACGAGCCTCCTCTTGTACCCTAGAGGCAAAATAAGGACTCTTCCAGGAATCTCTGTAGGCCTCGCAGTGCTCTCTAGTGCACTCTCACACACACTGCAGGCCTCCTGTTGTCTTCTGCACTCTAGATCCTCCACAGGTCCACCAGGGCACCCCAGTGCCCCCCTAGCTCCCCCAGAAAGCCTCCCAGTGACCCCCAGTGTCCTCTAGGATGCCCTAGAGGCCTCCCAGGTCACACCGGGATGCCCTACGAACCTCCTCTTGTGCCCTAGAGGCAAAATAAGGACTCCTCCAGGAATCTAGAGGCCCCTGGAGGCCTCGCAGGGCTCTCTAGCATTGAAGTTAATGGAGTAACCTGGTGGTCAGCAGAGTCACGATAGGGAAGTTTAAGAGACAAAGTTGTTACGGATGGGTTCACCTATCCAGCTCTGGCTTTTCTCTTCACTTTTTCCCAACAACGTCTGCTCAAAACACTCAGAATAAAACCAGGGGATGCAGGAACATCATTTCAGCACAGAGAACAGCCTGCAGGGACCTGCACCTTCCCCTCCCCTTGCTGGGGACAGGGATGTGGCCACCCCTGATGGGCACAGCGGTGCCTGTCGGGGGCACATCCAGCAGGAGCAGAGTGCAGAGCTGGGACCCCCAGGGACCCCCAGGCTCGGCCGCACGTCCCTGGGTGCCACCAACCCCCGGTGGCCTCAGCTGCCTCTGCACTTATTCCAGGCTGCTGGCGTCAAAGCCATCTGCCCAGCTGCACGAGATGCCTGGAAGGCACCGGAGCCATTTAATTACACAATTATAAATGTGTTTGGCCTTTTTATCTTGCTGAGGTTGACAAGCACCTTCGGAATCAGACAAAGCAGAGCCCTTATCGCTTGGCACAGGGGCTGCTGCCCTGGGCTGCTGCCCACGACTGACAGGCATGAACAAAAGCAGAGAAAGGGAGTCAGGGGGTGCGGATCAGTCCTGGAGCTGCCTGCTCTGCCCAGGCTCTGCTGCTGCACAGCTACACCTCGGGGATCAGGGCTGGCCCTTCTCCTGCCTGGGTTTTTGTTGCATTCCAACAACCTGCCACAAAACGAGCCCTGACAGCAGGAGTCCACAGGCTGACAGGAGCTGTGCCCCCAGCGTGGCCTTTTCAGCTTTGTGTGGTGTTTGGAAACAAAATGCACCTGTGGCGGGGCTGGCTGGGGACGTGTGTCCTCCCCCAGCTGCTTGCTGCTGGCTGGGAACGGTCCTCTGGTGGCAAAGGGGGAAAGAAAAGGTACAGAGAGGGGGTTTGGGTATTCCTGTGGCAGTGAAGCACCACCACAGTGGGGTGTCTCCAGGTCTGGATGTCCCCAGATGCTCTGCCTGGGTTCAGGGTGGCCCTGGCACCTCCTGCAGTGCCTGGGAGCATCGCTGCAGCTCTCTCCCCGTGCCGGTGTCACAGCACTGCTGGCTCTTCGGGCACTGTGGAAGGATGCCGGTGGGATGCTGGAGCAGGCAAGAAGCCTTGGCACTCTCCGGAGAAGCAGATGTCCTCTGCTGAGGGACCAGCTGGCACCCCACTGCCACACACGGGGCACCAGCACTGGCACTTTTCTGTCACAGCCTCGGGGGGTGTGTGGGGGTCCTGCCCCCAGCAGCGCACGCAGAGCTGCAAGAGGCGGTGAGACAGGAGGGGTCCAGCAGTTGCGTGCACACATCTGCATTGCACCTCATCAACCCTTCATTAGAGGAGAGAAACTCCATGAAGTGCTGGCAGTTGGCACCAGCTGAGCGAAGGCAATCATTAGCCAAGCATCCACGCCGGGCTCGGAGATGTCACCCGGGCACGGCTCTTTGTTAAATCGCTCTTTACAAACAGGCAATTAAAATATTTCCCTACCAGCACTGGGCACAGACGAACAGCGTGGGGCTGCACCGGGGACATCCCCCTGTGCTGGGCCGAGCACAAAGCCCAGCTCCCCGCAGGGCTCTGCAAACCGAGGGGCAGGATCCAGCCCCCCCCGGCACCCTGGGGTGCTGCGGGTGGCACAGCCTCCCCCCCGAGCCCTGGCAGCAGGGAGCAAGCGGCTCCAGCTCGCGGCACAGCGGGATGGGAGCACAGCTCCCTGCTTTATGTGCAGCCGTAGACATCTCCATTAACTTGCCCAGTATTTAAATTCCATAATGGAACTGAAATAAAGCGGCAGCAGCTTATCCCCGCTAGAGCCCTAGATCATCTGTTACAAAGAGCTGCTTTTGGAGAAACATTGCGCGTTTGGGTAAGAATTTCAAACCGGGCAATTCAGGTTTTTCTTGGGCAATTCAGGTTTTTCTTGCGAGGCTTTTCTCTGCCGTGAAGCCTGTGCTCCCAGGGGGAACACAGCATCTCTTAGCTGCGTGCTGAGCAGGGTGCTCAGGGACAAGGGGCAGCAGCAGGGTTTTTGCCTTTGCTGATGCCAGAAGCAAAGCTCAGGACGGGTCCTCCCGGGCCAAATCAGCGCCAGAGGGAGGACACCACAAAAGCAGCCCAAGGCAGCGATGCAGAGTGAGG